TGTCTAATTTTATATATTTATTAAATTCATTTGGCACCCATGTCACTATGCCCATCTCACTCCATTGGGTGGCAGAGTAGCTGTGCTCATATATGAATAACAGAGTGGGTAGGGACCAACCCCCTTGCTCAGATAGGGAACCCTATATCATTTCAGACAAATGGTTGTCCAATTGCATCTGAAAGACCTCCAGTGATGGAGCACCCACAACTTCTGGAGGCAAGTCGTTCCACTGATTAATTGTTCTGTGTATTTCTCCTTAGAAGTAGATTGTTTTTCTCTTTAATTAGTTTCCATTCATTCGTTTCCATCCGCTGCTTGTTGTCCTGCCTTCAGATGCTTTGCAGAAGAGGTTGACCCCCTTCTTCTTGTGGCAACCCCTCAGATATTGGAATACTGCTAGTGTGTCTCCCCAGTCCTTCTTTTCGTTAAATTAGACATACCCAATTCCAGCAACGTTCTTCGTATGTTTTAGCCTCCAGTCCTTAATCATCTTTATTGCTCTTCTCGTTTTCTACAGTCTCATCATCTTTTTTTTTTTATCATGGCGACAAAAACAGCATTCCAAGTATGGTCTTACCAAGGCATTACAAAGTGTTATTAACACTTCACATGATCATAAGTGCAAAGTGTTTTATATTTTAATTCTGAGCTTGAAAATTTAAAAAATATATTTGTTTAAAAAAATCCCCTTTAAAAATGGACTTATTTTTCAAAAAGACAGTGGAGAAAGTCTGCCTTGCCCCAACTAATTTTTCAAAGCACCCAGTTATTATAAACACTGGATATTAGGAGATAATGGGTCGGTTCCAGATTGAGTTATTCTTAGAACAAACTGAAGGAAATGAAAAAATTGTGACTAAATTTAGTCCCTTCGATGTTAGCTGGTCTTCTGGAAATACTAAATTTAGAACTGAATCATTTAGGCTGCATTTCCTCATACATCTGCATAAAGTAATGCCACATGAGTATTTTCATTTATACTTTATCTTTGATTTGCATAACTAACAAAATATGCATCAAATTTGTTTAGTTGCAAATATCAAATATATTAATAGATGTGGCTAAATGGATATCCTTTTGTATGAGTATGAGTACACAAGTGTGAGTTATTAATGCAGAAACTTCTCTCGTCACTACAGGTAGTCCTCACTTACTGACTACAATTAGGACTGGCAACTCCATCATTAAGCATTGTGGTCACTAAAGGGAAAAAAACACATGACCACCGTGACCTTACAATGCCACTTCCACTTCCATTGTTAAGTGAATCACTATGGCCATTAAGCGAAACATCATGTGACTTGTGATGTCACTTCTGCTTTCTCCATTGATTCTGCTTATTGGAAGCCAGTTGTGAAACTTGCAAATGGTGATCGTGTGACTGAGGGAAACTGTGACACTTGTAAATGCAACAATTGGTCACAAAGCTATTTTCTTTCCAAGTTTCGTATCCTCCTACAGTCACTCAAAGACAATCAGTAAGCAAGGACTACCCGTGCACTCTTACAGATTACCATAGATAATCATGGGTGCTGTATTATCCCAAAACTGCACACACAAAAGCCCTATCCTTGGAATAATAGAAGCTGGTTTAAAATTGCACAACTCCATTTAGAAGGCAAAGGGAATACCTGTATGTTATCCCATGCATGTGAAATCACATTTCATCGCTTTCTTTTTCTTTTGGTTTTCTTTTAGCAACCATGAAGAACCACAAGCTCTGCCATACCAAACCATGTTACCAGAGGCAAATCCTTGGCAGAAGCTAAAACTTTTCAACCATGGAATGGAAAGCAAAGGTTTTTTTCTACTTAAATAACATTGTCCAAGGCTCTGGAGATATTTTTGCACATCTTGCCTGTTAAAGAGTTTAGGTAGGTTTATGCAAAAACTTCATTAGGCATTTGTGAAGGCAATTCCACTCTGCAAGCCAAGCCAGCTGTCCAAAGAAACCAAATAATTTTCAGGCACGGATGCTTTGCTTGACTCCAGAAATGAACCCTCCAATTAGCTTGACACCCCAAACAATTGATCCCTGCTTATGTTGAACAGAAAGTTAAAGGTGTTAAGCAGTTTTTGCCAGGTTTCTTTGTTTATTTCTTTTTCTTTTCTTTTTTTTAATCTTAAAGGGTTTAACCTCTGGTCAAATTCCTGTTCCAAAGCCTAACAAGAAATAATAACCACAGAAGTGGAATGAGAGGGGTAGCCCAGATCTTTTTTTTTTTTTTTTAATAAAAGACCAACAGATACAGACACAGAACTTTTCAAAAAGAAATTCCCAGGACACAGAGACAAAGAGGGGGGTCTTGTCAAGATTCCCCTCCTTTATTGCCACTACAACACACCCAGACATTGCTGAACGTTAACCACCCATTAAACTTGTCAAATACGATCTCTTTATAATACCCCAGTAACATCTCAAACCAAAGGAGTGTTATAAAGAGGCAGAACAGGGAATGTATCACAATCAGAAACCCAATACAGGAAAACTGACAGTAATAAATCATTTGCACACATTTAAACCAGACATAAAGTGCATGCACACTTCTAGAAGAGAGATTACAGCTGCTCTGTCTACAAACATCACTGTTTGAGTTAAAGTCTTGACCCAGACACCAAAGCACAGGAAGAAAACAAGTTGGAAAGGGTGGGAAAATGAATGGCTAAAGGAAAGTGGAAGAAGGCAAGGAGTAAGTAAGTTGGGGAACCAAATGATAGTTTAAGTTTGCTGAAAATATCGGGATTTGGCTGTTCCTAGGTTCTACCCTATGGATTCCCTGGTTGGTCCTCCAACAGCTACCCAGAAATCAGCTCAAATCCACCAAACTGCATTAAGGTGCAAGGACCAAAAACATCATATAAGCATGTGGAAAGGAAGGCTTTCTTACATGGAGCCCCAAAAAGTTTTGGCAATGCTGGGGAAGGGGGAAGGTATACAATTACAGGAGAGATGACAGGATGGATGGATAGAACTGGAAGGTCTCCGCTGCATTAGGAGACGAGTATGGGATCTCTCCTATTAAGAAAACTTTTTGCAGTCCAGGACTCACTGGGGACTGTCTTTTGAAGTTCTAACTTGGAACAAGGCAGTGATAGCAAAGAGTAGTTTTGTTCCAACATGGCCAAGAACATAGGAAGTGAGCAAGGACCTCTGAGGTCTTTCACATTCCAAGACTCACCCAAGTGGTCTAAAGAAATCTGCTGGGCAATTTAAACTGCACTTATACAATCTATTGGTTGTGTGAAATCACACAATCTCCAGAATTTAGGTATACAGTGGATATACAGTGGACATGGATGTACGTGGGACAGGAAAGGATTGAGACAGAAACAAGCAATTTGGATTATTTTGAAATTCAATAGGTCAGGAAAGTCAGGAGTTGGTTTACATGTCAGGAAAGAGAAATTTCCTGACAGTGAGAACAATTAATCAGTGGAACGACTTGCCTCCAGAAGTTGGGAATGCTCCATCACTACTGGAGGTTTTTAAGAAGACACTGGAGACCATTTGTCTGAAATGGTGTAAGGTCTCCTGCTTAAGCCGAGGGCTGGACTAGATGACCTCCAAGGTTCTTTCCAACTCTCTTATTCTGTTATATAGCACTGCTGCTACCTTATCATGAATTCCTACTAAACATCCTTCTTCAAGCATGCTCTATTTGACCTCTGAATTTCAATGAAAGATGCAGTCTGGTGTTTGATCACAGAAGGGAAATGGTTGCAACTAATTCTTCCTAAAAGCTAATAAACTCTTAGTTCTGCAAAACTCAGAACAAAACAACTTGGCATTCAATTATATCTCTGCAGCTTGGTAAAGTAAGACTGGAATCCATTGTCTCTTTAACATGTAGAATCCAGATTATTTTGGCCTTACTTTTGCTCATGGTGGCAAATTATTATGTTCTTGATTTACAGGTAATGGTAGCAAATATGGGGGCATACTTTGCTATGGTTTCCTGGTTTATTCAGAGTTTAGGTATCTTTCTTTCTTTTTAATCTGGACTCTTACCTCTCTAGAATGCATGTTACATGGGATGGTAATAGAATGCATGTTGCATGGGAAAGAGGGTGGGTGCATATCTGGGTGCATACATGCATGCACTGGGATGGAGGGGAGGGGGGAGAAGGCAAGTTGTAAAGCAAACAATTCTGCAATTTTCAGAGGCAAAAGAGATGGAAAACAATGCAACCCAAATCAGCAGTTTGATGTAAGGATGCTGTGGGGCAACACGAAGACCCTAGATCCCTTCTCTCTAGGCAAAACAAACCAGCTTATCATGAAGTATAAAGTCAGCATAGCTGGGTCTTCTTCAAAGCCTACAATCCTGTTATGCTGAGCTCCTGCTCATGAATTTCCAGATGACCTCTAAAGCAGGGGTCCCCAACCGCCGGTCCGCGGAACAAGCCTTACCGGGCCGCTGGTTGCTGGGCGCCGCCATCTTTTTTGACGAAAAAGCGCTTCTGGTGACGTCACCGGAAGCGCTTTTTCGTCATAAAAAGATGGCGGCGCCCAGTTGACGCCAGTACCGGGCCGCGGCGCCCAGCTGATGCCGGAACCGGGCCGCGGCGTCGAAAAGGTTGGGGATCCCTGCTCTAAAGGAATGGAATACTGGGCTTGACAGCTTTTTTTGGTCTGACCCAGCAGGATTATTCTACCCCTCTCTAGAGGGAACTCAAAGAATGATGGTTTCACCCAGTGTTTGGAATGTTAAAGTTCGTCAGGCAGTAGATCTCCCCTATTTGTCCAAGCCAGGCTAGATCACAGCAAAACATTAAGCTGATTTCTGATTAGTCTGTCAGAGGGATGACCTAATAAATCCAACAAACAAATTGCACAACTATCTAAGTACCCTGGAACATGTTTTTTTTTTCCCCCAGAAAATTTAGTCTGAACCATTCAGAAGTGATCCAACTTCTTTTTTACGGAAGTTAAAAAAAAAAACATGCAAAGATACAAAGACGGACAGACGGACAGAGCAGTGGGGAAGAAAACTCACCTTGAGGTCTCTGTGGACGACCCCCATTTGGTGGCAATGGAGAACAGCCTCCAGGATCTGCTGGATGCAATGACTGCATGCAAACACCAGGGGGCGTGTTAGTTCACGGTGAGTGGTAACAACCGCACAGGCTGGTGGGGGGTGGGGTGGGTGGGTGGAGGGAATAATGCAGGAAAAATAAGGAAAGGGAAAACGGAAGAGGAGAAAAAGGAAGAGGAGGAAAGGAGGGCATGGGAAATAAAGGAATCTGATTTCTTCTCTGCAAGATGAGAAACCCAAGTTACAGATACACACTGTGGGAAAGTGAAAGTAGGCTGAAGAAGAAGGGGGGGGCGTTGCCTCCCCCCGAGAGAGGGAAAGGACCAAGAACCAAGAGGGACTGAAAACTACCAGCCAAGAGACAGAGCTTACAGCAGATGGATGTCTGACACTGCACTCAAGAAAGCAGAAGAACAGAGTCACCAATGTGATGATCGTAGGAAAACCGACACCAATCCCATCTTCTACCTTGACGTAAAGCTCCCATGAACAACAAATCAAGCTTGCTATCAGCATCCAGCATCTTTCAGGCACCCCACAGTCCAAGTGCACTACCGTGTGCCCTGAGCCCCCTACGTGCAGCAGCTGCTGGTCATCAGTCCCCTTCATGGCAAAGTTGGGATGGATCCCCGTGGGAAATTAACACGGAGGCCCCCTACTGGCAGGGATGTTATAATGCTCAAAGCTAAAAGATGATTCTTCACAGTGGTCCTCTGGGATCTTTAAGGTCAGCTTGGTCACAAATTGTTTGCAGACCAGTATCTTCCATCCTCAGGAAGATACTGGAACTGCTTGGATTTAGGGGACTGTATAGGTAGTCCTCGACTTACAACAATTCATTGAGTGACCATTCAAAGTTACAACGACGTTGAGAAAAGTGACATGACCATTTTTCGTACTTATGACCATTGTAACATCCCCATGGTCACATGGTTTACATTTGGATGCTTGGCAACTGACTCACTTTTATGATAGTTGCTGCATCCCGGGGGTGATGTGATGATCCCCTTTGGCCACCTTCTGACAAGCAAAGCCAAGGGGGAAACCAGATTCACTTAACAACCGTGTTGCTAATTTAACAACTGCAGGGATTCACTTTACAAATGTGGCAAGGAAAGAAGTAAAATGGGGCAAAACTCACTTAACAAATTTCTCACTTAACAACATAAATTTTGGGCTCAGTTGTGGTCATAAGTTGAGGACAACCTGTATTAGGTTTATTCCTAAGCAGGGTGAGATTCTTTAGATTTGCTATTCACCCCCTAACCCTTACAATCCCTTCTGTACAGTTCTAGGAGACATTTTCAGAAGGATATCAGTCCATTTTGGAAAACTGAGTGTTCTGATAGGCACAAAATAAATCCATTTCTTCTGCCACTGAGCCATCACTGGATAGACTGTCAGTAGATTATATCCAAATAGCATTTGGAAATGAGATCAGACATCTGCAGAAGACTTTGCTTAAGGGGAATGAAATTTTCAGTTGCTTGAAGCCCAATCTGCCCAGCCTACAATTTCCCAAAAATATACTGATGGCATTGCATGAAAATCAACCCACAACAGTGACAACTTTCTAAATATTCTCCTTAATACAATACTTCTTGTATTAAGTATATTAAGCTTCCAATGGGTTTAATGCACCAATGTTTGTTCTTGAAATAATTGCACCCCTAAGATTAACAATCAAACAGGTAATTTTTGATTCTACCCCTTTTGGTGATGTTACTGGATGACTGCTAGGCTCATGTAAAAATGTAAAGGAAAAAAAAGAGTATCCCCCTTGCCAAAGGGGATATACCTGCTCAGACTATAAAAAGAAGTTTCAAGCAAGTCTGAAAGAATCTCTCAACTATTTCCAGTCATCTCAAACATGAAAGGACAATAACACTAGTTTCCGTAACAGGAAAAGGATTTTGTAATCAGCCTATAGACAATTTTTTTCTTAAAAAATGCAATTAACTACTGCGGTAACCAGAAGTCAGGAAAAGGCACCAATTATCCTTCCCCAAAACCAATTCCCACAGAGTGTACAATAACAACCCTAGAACAGCAATATAATTTGGTCAAGCAGTTGCAAGCCGGTTCTGACTTTCTTGGGTGTGTATCAATCAATATGGCACCCAAATCTACTCCATAAATATGTTGTAACTTTAGTGCAAATACACTGACTGTCCACCTAATAAGGAAATAGCTCTTACTTGGGGTAATTTATCTGCAAAGTAGGTGTTAACAAGAAATAGTAATTTCCTCTTAGACACTACTGATATATTTATCCCTAAAACATAAATGACTAAGCTGATCTAAGTACTGTATAGGGCAGGGGTGTCAAACTCAAGGCCCGGGGGCCAGATCTGTCCCACGGGGTGCTTAGATGTCCGTGGCATCTCTGCCAGCGGCAATGGTGCTTGCAAGGGCCATGTGCAGCCCTCCCAAGCTCCGTTTTCACTGGCAGAGGGTTGCAGGAGGTCACTGCAGCCAAAAACGGAGCTCGGGAGCCTATTTTCACTGGCAGACTGCTTGGACCTCCACAGGCAGGACCTCCACCACCAACACACACACCCTGATCACGCCACCCAAGCCCCCGAGGTCAAACACAACCCTGATGCATCCCTGGTATAGGGTATTCAAATTCTGCATCAGTTGAACTCTGCTGATCTTTAAGACTGTGTAAAGCTCATCTTTCTCTGTTGGTGGGGGGGAATTTGTTGTCTAAAACAATCACAAAATACAGTTGCCATGTTCCTCTTAGAACTCGCGGCTTTTTTTTTTAATGGACAAGGATATATTCTTTTAAACTTAAAATTGCTAAGATTAAGTGTTCTTAATCTTAGCAACTTTAAGATGTGTGGTCATGAAGCTCACACATCTTAAAGTTGCCAAGGTTCAAAAACTTTAATTTGTACTATTGTCTGATAAAACAAAAATATGTGATCAATCCAGGGCATTTTTTAGGAAACATAAATTTTAAATGACATTTTAATTTGCCTCTGGGAAGATTATTCTGCTCACACCTTAGAGTGCCCTTTTTTTTGAACAAATAGAGTAAAATGGCTCTTGAATCCACAGTTGGGCTGGAGACATCAATCCCTGGTTCATCTTTTTTGATAGCATGTGCCTTTTTTAAAGACAGAAATCGACGTTGTCCTAAAATTTGTCCTTTAGGTGAAATAAACATGTGAAATAACACTGGACTCATCTGCTAGTTGTTGTGACTCTTCCATTAAAACATATTTGATTATTTTGAGACATTCAAAAATTTGTTCAGGAAACTATTGGGCTTAGGTCTCCTCCTAGGTAGACCATTCCCATTTTGTCTTCCTGGAATCACTGCAAAGAGTTTGTAATTGTGCTTTTTTTACTTTATTAACTGTATTTACTCTATCATCCATATCCAGCTAGCTTTTCATATGGCTCATTAAAACAAGTCAGTTATAACACTAGGGTCTGACTATCACCAGGACCCAATTTTCTGTATCAATAAATCAATAAATTATATTCTTGAGAACCATCATTAGGTAAGATATTGAAAAGCCTTCATTATCCAGCATTTGTTTTATTTTACAACCTTCTCATCTTTCCTAACTTGAATTAGGACATATGCATGTGTTTCGTCTCGTTTTATTCTCAGATCAATTTTGTGTGGGAAACTGGACTGAGCAAGGAGAATTGGCCAAAAGAGTGACCCCTCATGAGCTCCCTTATTAAGTAGAGACTTGAACTGGGTCCCTATTCAACTCTCATCAACCAGCATGATAATTCCTGGGTTAGATTAATGGGAGTTATAAATTCAGTGTTTTTGATAAGCACTTGTTCGGAAAAAATTGGGGCAGGGGATTAAATTGATATGTACCCTAAGACTACTGGAGGCATCACATCTCCAGTTTACCAGCAACTTCTGACGAAGAAGACTTGAACAGCTTGAACTGCTGACTTGAACAGCTACCAAAAAAAGTTGCCTGGGTTCAGAGTTACATACAAGCCATGTCCAAGTAAACCAGCTGGTAGGAGTTGTCTGCCAGCTTTTTGCAAGCAAATCAGAGGGTTGTGTCCCTTCTCATTAGTGCTTTCAAGATATCGGGGCACAACTATTTTCATTACCAGGCTGCTGTCACAGTTGCTACAGGGATTCATGTACCAGCCAAAACCAAACACATACCAGTATTTATCTTATTGGTGAAAACTCTACCATTCCTATTTTCCCCCAAAATGAAACTTTCGAGTGACCAGTGCAGTTATAAAAGTGAGTGCAGATAACCTCCTTTATGGCATGAACAGAGACTTTTTAAGAAGCTGGAAGCCCTGGAGTCCCTGAATGTTCCATCCATACACTAAAACCTTTCTTTCTTTCTTTCTTTCTTTCTTTCTTTCTTTCTTTCTTTCTTTCTTTCTTTCTTTCTTTCTTTCTTTCTTTCT